GGCTGCATGCTACATCTGTGCTCTTATAGTCAGGAAATGAGCACAGCAGAATCCTTTATCTAGTCCCGAAATCAAGAAAGGTTATAGATGCAGTGGTAAAGCAGAGCCAGACTTGCAGTGTTGGATGCAGCTGAGCTCTGTACAAAAAAAGTAGGTTCAAGGATCCAATAGGTGAACCAAAAAACAGGGTCTGGCTGCATAGGTTACGGAGAAGGAATTTATCCCAGAGTAAGAAATCAGCCTAGACTGAAACCTCCCTGCTTGGGGAAAGGAGATGCTGGACCTAAAATTTTTAGAGGTTCTGTGCTGTCCTTTTTTTACTGCACCATTGTGATGCACATAGTGTAATGTGCACTGAGTTGCCTGAAATGTTTTATGGAGCAAAACAAGATGGAATAAAATGTAAGCCCCCTGTCAGAGAGGGCTGTGGGACTGTACATGGACGTGTGTGCATACCCTCTGTACTTGGGTGAGCAGGACATGAGGGTAAACCATGTGTTGTCTCATCCGAGGGGTGGGATTCTTCGAAATGCAAAAGTGCAACATCCAGAAAACAAAATCAGCACAGCCAAACTGCCTGAAGCCAGGTTGACTCACAAAATAAAGGTCATATGGGAAGCATCCTGCAAACTGAACAGCACTGAAGGGAGGGTTACGTGTATGGTGAGCTCAGGTGCTCCTTAACACTCATTGACATCCTGATGAGAGAAGAACCAGTGAGACACCCGTTCCACGTTCTTTTCCTAATAGATATTAGGATTATTTTTTCAGTGTGTAAGAAGATTGGCTGTTTTGGGAGCAAAGCACATCTTGTAGTTCAGCAAGTCTGAAGGGCTAATGTCAACTTACCCTCCTGGCCCATTCTTTCTAAAGGACAGGTTCTTGTAACATATTTAAACTGGCAATGACCTGAGGAGACTGTTGCAAGAGTTAGAAGTTATTGGCATGCCAAGAAAGGTGAACAATGCTCCCTGGCCATTCCCCCATGTTGTATAAAAAGGGAGCCGATAGAGCAGATCTTTATACCCCAGGGATTTCCCTGGGGCAAGAAGGATCTTTAATTAGGCCAGTACTTAAGGCTGCTTTGAAACACTGGAGCAACCTCAGCATAAAGTAGGATTTGACCCAGTGGGATTGACTCCCATCTCTTGCTATCAGTGAGTGCTTGGAGCAAGTACAGCCAAGAGACCTACGCTGCACCTCTGAGAGGACAATTCTGCCCTTGCTTGCAGGATGAGCAGAAATGCTTTCTCTCTTTCGTAAGAGGGTGGGTTTTTTTCCCTTTCAGATGGATTTGTCCAAAAAAACAATCTTGTTGCTAAAGAGCAATTCTGCTTACATCTTAGCAGATGTTGAATTATGCATCCAACATCTCTTCAATCTTAGGAAACCCACTTTTGGAATTTCTCTCTACTTCAGACCAGGGATACCTACTGTTTCTGTATTTCTTGTTTCTTTGTGGTCCTGTTATCAGTCGGCCGTTCCAGCGTCCTGAGGCCCAGCATGTTGACAAACCAAAAGGTAGGATGTCAGTGGCAACCTTTAAGCATATCATAGGCAGTCTCCTGGGGCCTCCCTTTGCTGCGGGATCTCGGAGAAGTCATTGGAGACCTGTGATAATCTGACCTTTATCAAAGGAAGTGAAGAAGGGAAAAAAATTATTTTGGCCATTTAGTTCCTCTCCCTGCCAATGTGCTGCTGTGGGCGTTCACTGAAAAATGCGAGAGACAGGAAGAGAAGAAGGATGCATAAGATATGGGATCAAAAAGGTTCTGGGTATAGGTCGAAAACCTGGAAGAAAGGTTAGAGTTTCTCCTAGAAGAACAGTTATCTTGACTTTCTCTCGTATATAGAAATTTTACTTTTCTCAAGACAGCACACACTACCGCACACACCGCTAAGTCTCTATATAGGAACAGTACGGATCTCTGTGAGGGAGATGGCAGCAAGACAGCTCGAATGAGGGGTCAGAAACAGAAGAAATCGGCAAGAATTAAAGTGCAAGTGCTCAGATTTTTTTTTTTCACATATTCATAGACCCGACCCTCTTACAAATCACAGACCAGAAAGTTTCAGCCACTAATTCTTACATTAAGCCTGATCAATTCTGGTTAAAGCAAGAGCATATCTTTTAGAAAGACATCTAATCATTCCAATGACTGGTATTACAATGACGAGTGCCATAAAAATGCATCTAAGCAAATAAAAGCATGCCTTCATTTTACAAAATTTATCCAGTCTTTTTAAAAAAAACATAAAAATAATTAAGTGGAAGTGCAGCGCTGTTCCTCTGTCATTAGTCCATGGTCACCCACTATTCACCAGACTTTATGAATGGCTTCAGTGCTAACTAGCTTGCTTAATGCTATCACTGCAGTTTATTGAAGCTTTAACGTATATGGATTTTACAGGAGGCAAGGAAAGAATAATTGATTGATATGAATACAGTGTGCGCCATGCAGGACAGTTCCAGAAGAGCTGACCATACAGCAAATTTTGTGTATTTCTATTTTCCTAACAATTAGGCTAAACGCTGGCGGATGGGAGTGTAATGGTGCTGCCTAATGGTGCTCTAGGTCAGTACATCAAGCTTTCTAAGAACCTGGAGACAGCTACTGGCTGGTTATTAAGTGCTGCTGTGAAGTGATTCAGCGCAGAGAGGCAGCGTTCCAGGGTTTTTTTATTTTGTAGACACAGAGCTCTGGGAGAAACCAATTTATAAATTCTGTAGGGATCCAATATGCCGTTGTCATCTGGACAGCTGAATGCAATACATATAAAATAATGCTGTGACAGCAGTAAGTTATGCTTCCTTTGCCATTAGTAAGAGCAGCTGCTGAGTCCAGGAGCTTTGCTGATACCGGTGAGCTGTGCAGGGTTCCCAAATGAGTGCCTCGATAGCCTTTACCTTGAGTCTTGTGATTATTTTTTCCACTCACCACTTCTTTTGTTTAAAGCAAAGTCACTTCAATTGAAAACAAAAAAGGGGAAGGAAAATGGAAAGCTGTCATCATGCTTACTGAGAAACTAATCTTAGCATACTCTGAATTTAGATAGTAGAAGTCTCTATATATGGCCTCCCAGGTATTCTAATTTTTTTGTCTACTTCCATTACATTTTGATAATGATGTTCATTAACTTTTTGGCAATTTGTAGAAATGTTTTCAGTGCTCATTTTTTCCTTAGCACTCGCATAGGCTCCCATTACCATATCAGGTTAGCCCCTCTTTGCCTTCTTTTGTAGCTGGGGAATAGAGGTAGGAAGCAAAGTGGGTCCTTCCCAGTGGTCCATCCTTCCTTCTCTTGATCACCTTGTGCTCCTATAAAATGTTTAACCCCACGCTCTCAAAGAAGTGATCAGTAAGATAGGAACAATCTGAAAATAGCCAAGATATTTTTGAGGTCATCTCTTTCCATCAGGTTTGTGCTGCAAAAGTAACCCAAACGTGAGTGCTGAGATTGTGGATGCCCTGGGTTGCATTTCATGTTGGTTCTGCATCATCTCTTTAGTTAAGCAAATTAAAATAATATGATCTATGCCTTCAGATTAGAGCATGACTGAGGTGTCTCCTCCTCTGTGTGTTGACAGGAACTTGAGCCTAAGATGTTTAATTCAACCCCAGATGTTGGTCATCCACTAACCATGTGTTTTTGAACAGTATGAACCTGAATCTAGCCACCATAGTAAAAACCATGGAAAAGGAGAACTGGCTCTGACTTTGGCAGCCATCCTCACTCACAAATATTTATTGACTGCTCTTGGAGGTCAGGCGGGGTGAGAGCTTCAGATCTGAGGTTTATATACTTAGGCCCCATAAGCATGGATGAAACATGGAGCAACCCACCAGATGGGCAAATGGGCATGTGTGAGTTAGTGTGTGTTGGGGCAAGAGCTTTGGTCTCTGTTGGAGCCTACTTCTTGGGTCTCATCAGCTATGGCTTTTCTTTGATGATGGTGGTAACTCCAGGATGCATGAAGGTGAGTTAGGGACAGAAAACGTTCCTGGCTCTTTTGTTGTTGCCTCGCACGTGTGACAAAAAGAACAACTGTTACTCCCATGTTTCTGATGCATCCCCCCTGAGCTGAAATTGTGGCATTTTAAAGAATATTTTCCCTTTCTGTAAGAGGAGAAGAAAAATGGTCTGATGGTTGATACACTGAGGTAGGGCTCAGGACATACGGCTAAAACTCCCACCTCTTTTACAGCTTATGGTAGTATCGGTCAAGTCAGACTCTTGTGCCTCAGTCCCGCATCTGTGAAACAGGGATAATAATATTTTCCTGCCTTAAGGGGACAAATATAATAGTGTTTGTGAGGCACTTAAACAATATGCTAATGTGAGTCATATAAATACTTGCTTAGCTAGACAGACAGAGGCTAGAATGGAAACTGTTTGAAAAATGAGTAGTACATTATATTTGGTACTTCATTAATTATTTTTCTTATTGTATATTTTTGTGATTTCTTGATTTATATTACATTTTATACAGTACCCTAGAGCTATGGCAGCATAACAGTGTCTCATTTAGAATGGAACAATTTTGGGTTTGCTTAATAGGTCTGGAGTCCAGAAGAAGAACTATTCATAAGGCAAAATCTCCTCTGATAGCAATTGAAATGAGCTATGCATGATTTTTTTAACAGTAGAGCTAAGAAGAGAAAATGTCTCCAACAGTCTATTTAGCTGGTCCTCACTTTCTAATAATCTCTTGTGAATATGCTTTTCTTTTTTTATCTTTTCACTTATTTAGTGTTGCACCACTTTGCAAAGAAGGCCAAATTATTCAGCTGTTATCATCAAAATCGTTAGGGCCAAAAAAGTCAGCAGCCCATCCTGTCCACCACCAATACCTTCTTGAGAAAGGCTGCAGCATTGGTCTGATTTCTTATGTTTTGTAAGGAGTTTTGCTGTGAAGACTAGAACCTAATGCATGATGATCTGTGACAAATTCAATTTGAGTTCTGCTTACTTCACTTTTGCCTTACTCTCCCCCTTAGTGGCTGCGTCAACTGCTAATTCCACGGCTGGTGCGGCCATGAATTCTTTGACTTCTCTGGGTACTCTTCAAGGACTGGCTGGAGCCACTGTTGGACTGAATAATATTAATGCACTAGCAGGTACCGTAAACAGTGAGTATTTATTGCTGTGGTGGACAGCCTTCCCCAATTATCAGTCTAGGAAAACTATCCATTGTAAACAAATGATACTATTTTTAATGCATTTGTAAACCAGTTGATCAAGTTCTGTGCTTGGCACTCCAATCCTGGAGACTTCACGTTTCACTCTGCTTGACCTGCAAGGTGAAGTCTGTTGGTATCCAGCAAAAATTACCTTTTCTTGTAGGACATATGGAATTTTAAAACCTCTTCTGTGTAGTTAGTGTAGATTATGGAGGTCAGTTTTGGTTGTACAATAGGTTCCTTTTTATGTCAAGAGCCAGAAACATCAACCTGTGAAAACCTCTACCTACAAGACAGCACTAACAGCACTAAGGAATGTAGGTCATTAAGAGGCACCTGTTTGCTGCAGAGGCAAAATAGGATGCAGCCTTTATCAACCTAAATGCAGAAATTGCTAGGTTGTAGCCATGTTGACATGGGAGCAATATATTTGCTTAAAAATTAAAGCCAACATCTTGGTTTTTAATTTGCAAGTATGTGAGAATGGCTGAGTTAGTTGCTCGTGTGTTAGACCATGAAAATATATTGCATGTAGTTTAGGGTAAGCACTGACCTTTCTGGCTTAAGATGAGGGTGTCAGCCTTTAGAGAGAACCTTCATCCTTGTTCTCAACTGCAATTAAGCCTTTACTGACGAACAATGATTTCTGTTCTATATCTGTTACAATGACTTCACCTTTGCCTGCATTGAAGGAAATTCACCTTGCATCTTCCCTCTCCCTCCTAGCTGTTTTTAGCTGCCCCTGTTCCTTGCATTTCCTCCTACAATGCAAGGAAAATATTTGATCACCACCACCAGTCTCTAGTCCATTAGCCATCGTAATGTACCCACAGGAATGGATGTCCTCCTCAGTATCACTTGCTCACTCTAATGCTCTGCATGATGTCCTTTTTGTCACTGTTATCTGGCTGCTCACCAATCATTTTGTTCTGTGATCTCTGGTTGTTGATGTTGGGAGCCGGGGATGGGAAGGGTTAATGGATTGTCCATGAAACTGTGGTGAGCGGTTGCATGGGGCCTTGTGTAGAAGAGGTCTTGCTTCTGGCAAGGACACAGATATTAAAAGGAAAAAACAAAGAAGTATCTTCAAAGTCAATATGGTTCAAGGCCAGTTTAGTGCGTTAGATTCCAAAATAGCTCACGTATGTTGAAGCCACCCGTGCTTTATATGCTGAAACCAAACCACAGAACATGGCACTTGTGAAAGATGAGTCTCCGTGGCCTCATGAGCTCTCTCAATGATACACCCGTCTACATGGAAGGGCTCACTGGGAGCTGATGCTAAACTTCTTTTCCCAGCCAACTCTCAAGGTATGCTGTGTGGTACCTGTGCACTGTAGTGTTAGGAGTAGTGTGGCATGGCCCCCATTTCCACAAATATTAAGGACCCAAGCACACTGGCACACTTAAAAGCAATGTTCCTTCACTACAGCTGATCTGTAGCAAGTCACCCACATGCTTTCAGCCCTTGACAGCATGTAAGAATCATGCCATTGCCCATTGCACTCCATTGTAGTGACACTTGCTAGATTCTGGACAATGAGTTTAGATTTTCTTAACAGGTATTTTCAGATGATGTGAATGCAAACCCATTTGCATATGACATCTGAAGTAAAATTGATGTAAACACAACCAAGGACCAAATTCTACCTGGGTCTAAGCAAACACAGCTTCCACGGACTTATACCAGCGGTGGGTTTGGTCCAAAATCTTGTTTGTCGAACGTGTCTGCAGACAGCATGGAGAGTGTGTATGCATATAGTATCTGTATGTATATATTATACATACATATTTACAAAATGTGTGTATATGTCTGTGTATATATATATGTGAGAAATGTTTAGAGATAAGATTTGGAGAGGGGTACTGTGTGCTTCTCATGTGCTATTTTATGAAACCTTTTTCTCTCCGAATAATGATATTGATAATCAACCTATGGTGCTCATGGCACTAATGACTTCAGAAGCTGTAACAAGAGACATTTCCCACTAACTTTAATAATCTGCCTCTTCTGAACCCAAGTATGCTGCCAGTGACCAACTTCCTTTGGGTTTTTTTACACTCTAACCTATTGTGGACTTTATAGACAGGAAAATTCAGTTCGTATTCCATGATTGGGTTAGATCGTGATCAGTCCAAGGAAAGGAGGAATGCCACTGGCTGGTAATGCCAGAGTCTTAGTCTTAGAATAATTGTACAGGAAAGTTGGAAAGCCATGATATGTGTTTTGGATTGAGGAATGAATGCTAGCTTGCCAAAGCATAAGTGGAGCAAAGACGGATCTATGAATGAGAGCAACAATAGACACAGCAGTGGGTTGATGTTACAGGTACTGGCAAGACCCTCCTGTGAAAGCTGTGTCATCATGCACAAAGGAATTTGTGATTTGCGGAGCAAGGGTGTGCAGGCTAGTGTGGGAGGGCAATCACCTGGGAGAGAGGGGAGTCCTGGATTGTGGTCCTTGCCTGTTTTTATGCCTTTGCATTTGATTTATGCAGACAGCCTTAGGAATAGCAACTATAAAAAAGGTTTTATCTTCCCATGCAAGTACCCTAGCCATTAGTCTTTCCCGTTATGCTATCTTATGCTTCTTTCTGGCATTGTTGCTTTGCAGTTTCACTGGAGGGGTGGAGCCTGCCCCCCACCAAAAATTGCTTTTAGGATGGTGCTTGGGTCCTTCTCCTTGAAGTTTGGGGATGTTGATCTGCCCCCCATCAGGCTGAGGAGAGCCTAGAACCTATATCTCCCACTTCCTGGCCAAGTGGACTAGCCACCGGGTAGTTTTGTAAAGGATTGGCACCGTACTTCCTCTTCCAGCATTTTGGAAGAAAGGGACCCAGTCTGGTCAGCGTGCATGAAGCCTGAAGATGTCTACCACGGTGGGCCTCTCAAGACACTGAAACCTCATTTCTGGATCCTGATTGAGTTTAACCATGAGATAAGCACTTAGCTACTCGGACTGAGGGTAGTTATGGACACAAGGGAACAAAGAAGTCAGTTTGCCAGGGGCATTCAATAACTAAATAGGGCAGCACCGAGTTAGGTCAGTCGCCTCCACTTTCAAGCAGCACCTGAACACGCGCACATGAACACACGCATTGTAGCTTTGTTGTTAAGCGCCTCACTTCTGCCTAAATCCTACTGTAGGGACCTGTTCCCCCTTTTTGGATCTAGCTGTGGGTGACTCTGTCACCTCTGGAAAATAAATAAAATAAACAGAAAAAAATGTTGCTAATAAAAATAAA